CAGGCTGCATTCCTGGCCTCCTGCATGCTGCTGCTGCTTGTCTATGTCTGTGCCTGTGCATGCCTCTCCCCTCTCCTTCCACCCCCCTGCAGCTGCCCAGAGCCCACACCTGGGCTGCCCTGCAGTCCTCTGCGCTACCACCACTGATCCATGGGGCAGCCCAGAGGTGGTGGTGATGGTGGCAGAGTGGAGTCCAGGTGCAGGCTCCAAGATTACGTGCACAATTAATGCATTAAAAAAATTAACATGAACAACGATTAACACATTAATCATGATTAAGTGACAGCCCTAATGTGTGTGTGTGTGTGTGTGTGTGTATACACATACACATCTCAGGTCATTACATCAGTTGCTTTCATATATATGCAACTGACAAATATATATAGGTTGTTGTCATGCTCTTTTCCTTTGATCTTTTCACACACACACACACACACACACACACACACACACACACGCTAATTGCCCATCAAGAGTGAAGGATTTCAGGGCGTGTTTAGATGCTCCCCCCCACCCCCCACTCACCCTTTGGGGCCCACCATGTAAAGACTCCCTCCACCACCGCTGCCGCCTCCTCCGCTGCCACCGCCTCCTCCAGCCTCCACTGTGGGGGCTTCCTTCCCCTGTGCACCTCTGCCTCCACCTCCACCTTGCAGCAGGACTTCCCCCTGCCTCCCTTTCCTCAGTCCCCTCCCTTCCCACCATTTCCCTTTCCCTGCTGGCTGTTGTCATGATTGGATGGCAGGGGGGACCCTCCTGTTTCCCTTCCTTCCGTGCCACCCAGCCCTGACAACAGTCGCCACCATGACTGCCTCCTTTGCCTCCTCATGCCCCGCTCACCTCCTTGCCACCTGGCCTCAGCCGCCACCCTGACTGCCCCCTTCTCCTTCCCCCTTCCCTCCCTCCCTCCCTGCCCACTGCCTCCCCCTCCCTGCAGGCTGTTCTGGGGGACACTGGGGACAGGCACATGACCCCCACATTCACCCTCAGGCAGGGAGGCAGGGGGAACCTCCTCTGCTTGGGTAGCTAAAGCATGTTTGCTGCTGCCACAAACTTCCCCAGCAGCGATGCAAAGTTGGGCCTGCACAACCAATCACCACCCGCCGTCTTGACGGCGCATACGCAGTGGGCCAAAAGTGTTACAGACAGACGCACAGAAAGACAGATTAAGGCCTTTATTATAATAGAATATATATAATCTTTGTTCTATATATCAGTTATTTTCTTACTATTTTCCTTTGATACTTTTTTTAAAACACAGTAGCTGCATAAAGGAAAATTGATAAACTCTCTTATTTGTTTTCCTCTTGTGCAGAATCTAGATGCCATGAGCTGTTCTGAGGCCAGCACAGTGGATATGTATACTTTTGTGGGGAATTACCAACTAGCTGAAAAGCCAAGCACACCTGAGGACTGTTTTACAGAAGGTAAGAATCTGCTTGCATCATAGTGATATGAAGCAAGACAAATATTTCAAAAACATCTCTAAATATTTCTGTGTTAAAAATGGTTATTCTGGCTGCTTGCTGTTCTGTTTACCAAAACACTTCATTGAATCAAAGCTCAAAATATGTGTGCTCTAGGCACAAAACCATTACCCTGACTTTGTAAACCATTGCATGTGAAACTGGGAAGCAATGCCCAATGCACATTTTTGTGGCTTGGTTGTATGACTTCATAAATTAAATGTGACACACTCATACTGCCCCATCCAATGAAAACAATTCATTGTCAATATCAGGACCAGAGCAACCCTGAATCTGGAGCACAGTCCTGGTGCCAACAATCAGTTGATCATCAGCATTGGGACTGGGACATAAGACAGCCTTGGTCGCAATGCTGACAATAGGCACACGGGTTGCAAGGGACCCCCTTTCATGACCCTTGTGAGCCATAGGCCTGGTACTTTATGGTAACCCTGGCATGTTTGCTGCTTTGCCCTGCATGTCTCACAGGAGCAGTGGGGCAAGATTCTCTTTTAAATGCTGTGTTGTGGTGGGTGGCAGACAGTGGGGCAAGGCAATCAACATGGTCGCAGTGCAACCAGGGTTTACCCAGACCCAGCACTTTAAGAAGCCTGGCCCTGAAGCCTCCATGGGAGCTGCAAGGTAAAGCAGTCAACATGGGCTGGTCTGTGCCAGGCTAGGCTGCTGGGAACATGGGGTTAAACATATTGTCAGTGGGAACCCCTCACATTTAAGTTGCAAGGTTCCCTGAAAAATTGTGCAATTGTTGGGATCCAGGATTAGATCCCATCCCATCTGTGCGGGCTGGGAGCGACCTGAGCCCTTTTTCGCGCTGCACGCGGGCTGTGGCCAGCAGCCCGGGCACACGGGGGCGGAGAGGGAAGGCCTTCGAGCTGGAATTAGGCACGGACGCGTAGCGGTAGTTTTAAAAGATTGTTTACTTACACCGAGGTGGCAGTGGTGTAGGCTGGAAAGCTTGATTAAGTTGCAGTTACAGAAAGAAAAGAAAACAAAACTCGAACCTGCAGGGCACGAGGGTACGTCGCATAGGGTTCCGGCGACGGGAAGGTGAAAATACGAGGGTAAGTCGCGAAAGGTTTTGGCGACGGGAAAATAAACCTGCAAGACTCGAACCCGGGTAGAAGAGCTCTGGAGTCGTCCGGCAAGGACTCACACGAAGTTTGCTAGGCTCCGTGGGTCCGGTTCGTTGCGCGCGGGAGGGATACGTCTAGGAATCTATCGGCGACGGGGAGAGGCTAGAGATTGATCAGATCTCTGTTGCCTGCTTGAAATGCGCTGGGTCTGTAAGGATCCGCAGCGCTTAGAGATCTTCACACAGCGTGAAGTCTCCTCCTCCCTTGTTCGTGGAGTCCTCCAACTTGGGCGGAAACCACTCAAGCCTCTTATACGGCTAGCAAGCCAATCACTAGCTGCCACGTGTGAATAATTTAGAACTGGCCAATAATGGGACCCGAATTAGCATACAAATGGCGGGAACTCTTTGCAACGAGCATCTCTGTGCTGCAACAAAGAAATGCACCCTGCAAAGAAAGCTTCAAATTGGCGGGAAATTCTCCCTTGCACTGGGGTTCTCTTTTGCAGCAGAAAACTCCACCGTGCAAGGAAGCTGCAATTTAGCGGGGACAATTTAGCAGTGCCGAAGCACACACAAAAACAAAAATCACACCCTTTGGGTTGTGACACCATCATTATTTAAACATCTGCTAGAGGCCTTAGTTACCAAAATACTAGTAAGATAGTGTATCTCTCAGTACCCCTGAATATTAGATCTGAGCACATTTTACAGTGCCAGAGGGCTTCATCCTGTCTTATGGCCCTATGTATTTTGTGGTTACGGATGTTCTCTCCTTTTTGTTTTAGGCTGTGTCCGATATTTTCCATTCTGTTCAGTGGACATCACAAAGTACCCAGGTGACACTTGGTGGAGATTTAGGAAAACCTGCTTCAGAATTGTTGAACATAACTGGTTTGAAAATTTTATCATATTCATGATAGTGCTGAGCAGTGGAAGTCTGGTAAGTATAACTTTGTCTCCTAAGGTTTGAGCTCCAGGGGTGTTTGTACACACCAAATTTTTTGCCCTTTCTTGAGCTGCAATGGCGTGACTGCTTGCATGAGCGGGATTTATGGACGCTTTTTATTTAAGTCTTTTGATGCATTAAACTAAAACTCCCAGGATGTAGTTTAGTTTAGCTCATTGGGAATTAAAGTGTTGTGTCCATGGATTCATTGTGTGCAAACACAAGGGCACTTAGAGACATGTAATGAGCCTCTTTGTCCACCAGATGGTGCTGCAACTTTTTTATAGTTCACCCCTTCAAATTGCTGCCATTTTTTTTTTCTTGTGCCATGTGATATCTCCATGCTCCCACAGCTGTGTGGCAGGGCACAGGCTGGGCAGTGAGGGACTGTCCCACTCTCTTGTGGCATCAGGCAGGGAATGGGCTGAATTTGTTCAAAAACCTAATATGTTTAAACACTGATTTGACACTCTGAAGCTTAATTCATTCGAAAGCCTAGTACATGCAAACACAGATGTGATGCTCCAAAGCTTAATTCATTAAAAAACCTAGTATGTGCAAACACGGGTGCGATACTCCCAACTAAACACATTTACATTTTAATAAACCTATTTAATTTAATGATGATTAAACCATGTGACATGTACAGGTGCCCCAGGATATTTATAGGACAAAAAACAGCTGTTCTGTTTCATTTCTTGAATTATCTAGTGACTGATTTTTCCAGTGATGGACAACATGTTAAACTTTTCCTTTAAACTCCTCCTTCTTGAAGAATAGACTGATTAAAGTCTTGATTCATCATCAGTATTCCAACTTGATATAATTTTATATCAGAACCTTGAATCTGAAAACATCAAAACTTTAGGACATTAAGATATGAAACTGACTGAATATTATGTGATGTTATGTCCTGATTTTATGAAGGACTAAGGTAGAAGATGCTGAAGAAGAAAGGGTCTGTTATCAAATTCATTTAGGAAGAAAGGAGGACTGATAAATAGGAATCTTCCCTAATAAGAGTTATAAGTGATAAAAAGAAAAATGGAAGAGTTTTCAAAGGATGAGGAGTAAGTAGACGTGCAGTTTTCTGAGACACAGGACTGAAAGTCAAATGATTTCTCTTCAGCGCCTGCATGATCTTAGTCAAGTTACTTAATCTTTTTTACTTTAGTTTGCCTTTCTATAAAGTAGGGACATTTCTACTTTACATCACAAGCAGATTGAGGAATAAATTGCATCTATTCTGTGTCACTGCCTCATGGCAGATGTTTCAGTGAGCATACGATTTTTCTGTAAGAGTGTAACTGAAAAGCCTACATCAGAAGGAAAAATAGATTTCACTGAGGAAAAGAAGGGCGGAGCCACGGAAGAACAGGCAGGACTCCATCCAGCAAGCCCACCCCCTGAGATGACGTCGCTCCCAACGGCCCCACCTCCGTACCACAGGGAGGGGGCAACGAGTGGGAATTTATATCCGATCCTCCCACCAGACACAGTAACAACTACAGCAGCCGCTCACCCTGTAGCAACAACCAAGCAAGTAACCAACCCGGAGGGTGCAACCACCACCACCACCCTTGACGCCATCGAAGCATGCGTGGAGATTTACGGAGGAGAGGACACCATCACCCTTCACCTCCTCCTCAACCTGCTCGCTACTCAGCCAGCAAGAAATCTTTTAAGTCAACTTCCACGACTGCAAGCCCTTTTGGAGTCAGTAGCTGCAAACCCAGCCGGCATATCAAGCCACCTTACTGCATACCCGGTCATGCACCAAGGGCCAAGACATTCCCAATTTGACTCACAAAAGGAATCGAAACTGGATATTTAGGCCAACCTTTTCAAAAGTATTGACTAATTTTGGATACCTCAGATTTTGGAAACTAAAGATCTTAGAACCTGGTTTTCAGGAGTTTTGTGTTGTTGTCATTGGCAGTGGCAGCAATCCCTTGATTTGAAGATGATCTCTAGCATGTCTCATTTATGGGTCTTGAGATGACTTAAGAGTCCAATCCTTAAGCAAGCCACAGATCTGTCTGTAGAAGTCACAGATCTTTCCACAAGGGAGAGTGGGCTGCAGGCTGGGATTCCTCTCCTTTTCCTTCCTCTGCTTTCTCTTCTCTGCTTTGAGGGCAAGATGCTTTATCTAGTAATGGGCTGCCACTTGGTTGAGGTTGTGGTGCCATTGGAATCAGTCAGCAACCAGCTTCTCCCAAGTCTTGATGTCGGCATCTGTTTTCTTGAGGTATACCTTCAATGTGTCCTTATAGCATTTCCTTTGGTCACTGTGAGATCTCAGGCTGCAGCTAGTCTGGGAATAGAGTGCTTGTTTTGGGTGTCAAGAGTCAGGCACCTTCACACAAGGTCTGGTCCAACAGTGTTGGTGCTTGAGGATCATTGACTCATTGCTGGTAACACTAGCCTCAGCAAGGATACTGACATTTGTGCAGTGATCTTCTCATTTGATGTGGCGGATTTTCTGTAGGCATCACTGCTCATACCTCTCCAAGCTCTTGAGATGACAACGGTAAGTCACTCACGTTCCATATCTGTAGAGGAGAATGGGAGTGATGACTGTTCTGTAAACCTGCATCTTAGTGTCTTTCTGGAGATTGTAATCTTCATCAATGTTCAGTCTCTGAGAGATATGGCTTTCAGAGAGGTACGGGGATGTGCTCAACAACCTCCAGTGTCTTTCCCTCAGTGGTAATTTGGTATGGTGGGATTTGCATTCATAGCCTGGAGCAGGCTGATAGAGCACTTTAGTCTTCTCGATGTTGAGATAAAGGCCAAAAGTTCAGTAAGTTTCTCCAAAAAGATCCAGCATGATTTTGAGGTTTTCCTCAGTGTGTGCAAGGATGGTGCAGGCACTGGCATATTGAAAGTCAAGGACAGTTGTTTTGCGTGCTTTGGTCTTCAAGTGAAAATGAACAAGATTGAAGAGCCATCCATCTATTTTGTATTCAATGTCATTTCAGAGAGGAAGACAGTCCTTAATGAGAACCAGGATGACTGTCAGAAAAATGGGGAACAGAGTTGGGGTGATATTTGCTTGACCCTAGTTTAGATGACAAACAAATCTGTCTCTGATCTGCTACACAGAATGGCCATGGTTATCTGGTCATGGAGAAGCCTCAGGACCTTGATGCTCTTTTCAGGACATCCAAATCTGTCCAGTATTTTCCACAAGGCTTCATGACTGATGGAAACAAAAGCCATACAGGTCAATGAAGGCGATACAAAGGTCCTGATGTTGTTCCTGAAACTCTTCTTGGACCTGGTGGGCAACAAAGTTTTGAGTATTCACAATTCAATATAGTTAGAAATCAGACTGTAGCTGTCCAAAGCTAGACTTCTAAAATCTGACACATCCAAAAAGAGAAACTCAAAACTCTAGAACTCTTGGTTCAGAGTTGATATCTTTTATTAGAACAACTAAGAAATCGCACAAAAAAAATCTTTTTCTGCAAGCTTTTGGGCGCGCACACCCTTCTTCAGGCTTAGGAAAAATTAAAGATGGTAAAAAGTCCCTATAGGTAGAAAATAAACTTCATTTTTTGCACAGAGAAAGCTGAAGGTTGAAGTGTGGTCCTCTGGGTCCATGGGAGTGTCTTTGTGAGTTGCTTTAATGTGTAGAGAAGGCAAAAAAGTACTTTTGAAAATGTAGACTTTTAAAAAGAATAAAAAAATCCATATTGGCTATAAATTCTTCTAGCAAAGTAATCATAAACCAAACACTACAAACTATATCCTAGCATTTTGAAATAAATTACCACAAATTTAAAAAAAAAAATTATATTTAACTTTTGAATTTCCAGGCATTTGAAGACATTTACCTTGAAAACAGAAAAAATATTCAAAACCTGCTGAGCTTTGCTGATATAATGTTTACCTACATCTTTTTCCTGGAGATGATTCTGAAATGGGTAGCTTTTGGCTTCCAAAAGTATTTCACCAGTGCCTGGTGTTGGCTTGATTTTGTTATAGTGTGTGTAAGTATTGTATTTGAGGTTTATATTCTATATAGTAAGTTATGTTGTTATGAATGGAGTAAATTTTGCCTCAGTGGAAAATCTATGCAAATGAGATTCTGCCCACATACATGAGAGTGAAGCCAATTTTCCAAAGCAGAAAATAACTATGAGCAAAATAGACAGAAAACATTTTCAATTAAAAATATGTAAAATAATTGAGAATATTTTTCTAGATGCCCAAAAAGTCATGATCTCATAATCACGCCAGGCCATGTTGGTTTGTAGGAGAATGAAAGAAGTAATAAAATGAAAATACAATATATAATAAATTTAAAAAGGGAACTTAAAAGCAAAGTATAGCTTAAAAGATAAAGGATGCAGACACAAAGGGAAGCTAAAAATAACACTGAAAAATCCATGGTCCAAGGAATAAGGTACAGTAAAGGAGTGTTTAAAATACATAAGGAATAAGTAGATTTCTAACAGTCATATAGCCCAAACCAGCTCTCCTTTTGGTGGGTAAATAGCACATAATGGGCTAACTTTAGTTGTATAAGGGGCGTTTTGAATCCTACTTCCCACTGCATAATTAACTAGATCTTTTTGAGCCTTTGCAAAAGGACTGCAACTATTCAACAGAACAGAAATAAAAGAAGACCATGTAATTATTAAAGGAAATGGTGAAATTATGAGTAATAAGACAAGAGGTACAAGCATCAATAAATATTTATATTTGGAAAGAAGCTGAGTGATATAACGATGTCATGTGATCATGAACTACTTTTCTGTTTCACCAATATCCAAGGAAGCTGGTAAATAGACTATATTAAAATTAAATATTTTTAAAAGTAGCAGATCCTGGTAACATGCCTCTAAAAGTTTTTAAAAGGTGCCTGGAAAACTCTCTGGAACATTACTGTTCTATGTGTATAAATACTGGAATACTGGGGAGGTTCCCGTGTACTGGAAAAACTGAATATTGTGTCAGTGCTTAAAAATGGTAAATATAACAAACTGGATAATTTCAAACTGTTAGTCTGACAGCAGTCATGACCACAATAATACGGTTGTATAAAGCTCAATCAATGAAGAACTAAAGGATGGGAGTATATGGTTTTATTGAGTCTAAGTTTTTTTGTTTTGTTTTTCAATTGGGCAAAAGAGCTTGATATTATTTTGTTATGAGATGTCAAATTCAGTTAATAAAGGTAACTGAATTGGTATGATATATTTGGACTTCTGTAAGGCATTTGCTAGCACCTCACAATATTTTGACTTAAAAATAAGCAAAAAACAAACTCAAAATACCTATATTGTATAGATTAAAGCAGGCTAAATAATAGATTTAAAAATATAACTGTAAATGAGGAGTGAGCATATTTGAAGTGAGATGGAAAGGGATCAATCCTCAGCTAAACACTTTAATACTTTTTTGTGGTCTGCAGGGTTGTCACCCTCCAGTTTTTTCATTTTTAAAAATTTTTTTTACAGGCAACCAGATTTTTGTTAATCTATTTTTTACACAATGTACAGGGAGCACAAAGAACAAGAATACTTCCTAGGCAAAAAAGCACTAATCCCTTCTACACTCCCAGCAGCTTGGACCTTTTAAAATTCCCAATGTCATGAAATATAGCAGATCACAGTATTTTCTATCACACCCCCATTCTTGCTATGTTTTTTAAAGTAAAAACCTTCTTCTAGCAGTGAGATCTAAAGCCTCCCTGGGCACAGGACCGTGGGAGCAGAAAAATCCAATCCTGAACCCACGCAGAGACAACTACCTTATGTGGTAATCACCTGCCTGCTTCTGTATTTGCTCTAGAAACTATTCCAGGCACTAGATGCTCTCCCCTCCAAAAACTACCCTTCTCAGTGCAAGAGCAGGAAAGGTACGGGTGTAACTCTCCCATCCCTCTCCTATGTAGTCTGCTACTGCTCCTCCCCTTGCAGGAGATGGGAGGAAGAAGCCTGCTGTTGCTATGAATGGTCTCCCCTTTGCTGCAGCTCCCTGGCCAGTTGCAGCAACGAAGAGCCTAATCTACTTCCTCTCTGTTGCTGCTATAAACTTCTCTGTGCAGGGGGAGCGTATATGCCACAAGGTGGACATGAGGGAGGGCAAGCTCTTACCCTGCGCTCAGACATGCTCTTTGGTTACACCCTGCACGTTAAGGCTGAATCCCTCCTCCTGCACACACAATACCTGAAGCATTTGTGGAAACACCCAAAGGTTCCAGTGGGAAACAGCAGGAGGAGCAGCATTTCCTAGTGTCCATAAATGTTACAGATGTCTAGATATTTTTATGTATTTTATGGACAAGGGCCTTTAGCCATTTTTTTCATGGGCAGATGGTAACTCTTGTGGTCTGAAAGAAAGTATAACATCAAAGTCAATAAAATTAGCATATAACTTACCCATTGTTGAAATAGTAAATAATGAGAGCTGGTCGACATTACAGAGTTCTCTGGATTGCCGGGTAATGGAGTGCATTCAATCAGCATGCATTTGGCACAACCACATGATAAGTCAAAAATCTACAGTGAAGATATGTGTAGACCATGCTTGATGGAGAGGGCAAGTGTCCTGGAAAACAGTCGTTCCCAAAGAGACTGTTGATACCATTGTGAATGACTGAGCTGAACATAAGCTCTCAAACACAGTGAAGAAGCTAGAAGGGTTAATTGAATCCTTGGGCATATAAAATGAAATACTGAGGAGGGGAGAGGTCATTTGACCTTTGTTTACAATATTGAAACATTGTTTCCACACTTCAAAAGAGGTATTGAAAAACTGGAAAGGTTCGGGAAAGATCCACAAGAATAAATAAAAAATGGAAAGTGTGCCTTACAGTTGAGAAATGCAAGGGGTGCAATTTATGTAGTTTATCAAAGAGAAGGCTAAGAGGTGACTTGACCACAGTCTAGAACAGGGGTGGGCACCCTGGCCTGTCCGCTCTGTACCTGCAATGCCCTCAGCTGGGCAGATGGGATGAAACTGTGGGCGGGCAAGGAGCACTGTCCGGGGCCAGGGCTGGGGCTGGAGCTAGGGCCTGGGTTCAGATCAGGATCACAGGGCAGAGACAGTGTGGTGCCAGGGTTGAGGCCTGGGGAAGAGCCGTGATCCGCTCCCTGCAAATCCCTGTGATGGGCTCTGGTTCCAGGGGCATGTGTGCGCCGAGAGGGATCACAGCTCTGCCCCAGGCCCCAGCTCCATGGTGTCACAGCCCTGAAATCCTGTTACCAGCCCCATCCTTGACCCTGGCCCTGCCCACCCATCTCACTCCTGGACACCACTCCCCACCTGCCAATGGTCCCATCCCATCCACCCAGCCACGCACTCTGCCCATGCGGGTCCTGGGCTGATCTCCATGGAGACCCCAGGATTGCTGGGTAGTGACAGCACAGGACCAAGGCCCAGGGAAAAGCTGTGATCCACTCCCTGCTTGCAGAATCACCGTCCATTGCAGGGGTCTGTGGGGAGTGGATCATGGCTCTGCCTGGGCCTGGGTGCCCACCCTGAACTGTCATGGCCCGCATAATTGCCCACGCCTAGTCTACGAGTACCTGTGTAGGGAGATGATAATTAACATTTTTATTTTGCTTTTTAATTTAGTAAGGCTGTAAAAAGATACAGTGATTAGAAAATGATGATAGACAAATTCAATAGGAAATCAGGTGAAAATTGTGAACAGTGAAGGCAGTTAACCAATATAATAATTTACCAAGGATTGTGGTACATCCTGTATCAAGCAAAGTTTTAAAATTAAGATCAGATGTCTTTCAAAAAAAAATCTGTTTTTCAAAAGAATTAGGAACTATCACTGTGCAGAAAGTCAGACTAATTTACTGCAATTCTCTCCTCTAGCCTTCAGAATAAAAGAACACAATTATTGCTGGTCATATGACTGTGCTGTGTTCTTAGTAATTGCAAAAGTTAACCTCAGAGAAAAAAGACTCACAGGTGTATGGACTGGTGCCATTATAATGTGAAATAATAATCATGTGTGTGAAATAATATAATGTTACAGTAATATCAGAAGTAAAGAGTCTGATTACAGTACAGTAAAGGTGGGCATGTACACCACTCCCAGCTTCTTCTTGCACGGGGTTGGGTAGACCACACTGCAGGAGCAGTAGTCAGGGGAGTCCCAAGGGAGGTAAGAATTCTCACTCTCCCCTCCCTTCTCTTCCCTTCCCTACTCAAAGGCATGCTCCCTCCCCACTTCTCCCCCCACTCCTGTTCTGCTCTCCTCAACTTGCCGCCAGCATCCACCATGCTGAGGGCAGCTCTTGTCCTGCTGCCACCAGGCTGCACAGGGGCTGTGCTCACCCAGGACCTCTACAGTGGTAGGCCTCCACAAGAGAAGGCTGAGGGGGGATCTAGTGGCCTGTTACAAACTAGTCAGAGGGGACCCAGGGGAAGCTGCCAGGGAAGGGAATGTGCCCACCCACCTCTGCCCCCACCACCACAGTCCTGCGCTGAGGTCAATCCCTGTGAAGCCCAGGGGGAGTGGGCAGGAGCTCCCCTCACCGGTGGGACAGTGGGGATAGCAGCAGTAAGGGTAGGCAGCAGCAGAAGGGGGAATGGCAGGGGTGGGGAAGGGACCTTTTGAGTACAGAGGGGAAGGGAGGGGGGACTCCTTATCTTCTTCAGGACTGAAGTCCCTGGTGATGCACCTGCAGCATGGTCAAAAAGTGGGGTGCGATGTGGCCTTGCCGTTGAAACCCCCTGTACACCCTCTGCCCCTCTGTACACCTTCCATTTCTTTTACTGCTCAGAAAACCTATAGCCTTGCGACCATGCTTGCCTATTGTAATAGCTACAAAAATTATATTATTTTTACAGTTGCTATTCTGAATAGAAGTCCTAATTTTAATTAATTCTGTACAGATTTCACTCATCTCCTTGGGGCCAAAAAGTACATCGATTCTGGAATATCTCTGTGCTCAGCAGAGTTCCTTGAAATCTATTAGAACACTACGGGCATTGAGACCCCTACGAGCCTTATCCAGATTTGAAGGCATAAAAGTAAGAATATTTTTGTGTGTGCCCTTGGAGTGTGTGGATATTCTAAACTGACCATATTCAATTTTTTTTTAACAAAAACTGGAAGTTGATTCTTCTTTTCAGAAACCAAATAACATTAAAAAAATTCAAGAGTCCTATTTAAATTGTAGATGCTATTATTGTAAAATTGGTATTTAATAAATTTAATGCAAATTTACAAGTAACTAGTTTAAGAACATCTGATTTTTAAGGATAAAAATCACATTTTGGTGGTAGGAATTGTGATGCTCAAATATTTTATTGTATTAATGGAAGGTCTTATTTTACTGGATCTTTAAACAGGTTTATCTAATTTGCATTATGGAATTTGCAGTGTGCATATCAATCGTAATTGTATACAATAATTGGAATGGTGTCATGTTGCCATAATTTTATTCTTTCTATGCAATGTGTAAAACAAATGAAAGCACCATTTACCTAGATTCCATTTTCTAAGGCCTTTCCTTGTTTTGTATTTATGTCTGGATGAAAAATTTTCAGAGTATTTGTCAAATATTTATAAATTAGAAGAACATCTGGATCAGTTTGTGAATGATTTGCAAGTAGAATAATCTTTTTTTTCATAATTTGTATTTGCCACAGTAATTCAAAGAGCTTCACTTAAAGCTTTGAGAGTATTACTTGCATTATTATGATTTGCATAGAAGGGGAAGCTAGTATCTAGTAAATTGGACAGGAGATCAGTCTTTGTATGCAACTCACAATATAAGGGCTTTCCCACAAAACATCCCTCTATATATTGGATAAAATTCATTTTCACCTCTGTTGAAGAACACACTGCTGAGAGGAAGGCTATGTTATTCTTCTTTGACAATGAGTCATCATCATACACACACTGTACCTCATGTATGAAACCTTTTTAAGTAGCAGTGTCTAGGGCATTTGCCTATTCTTTTCTTTACTCTTGTGTGAGGGCATAAGAGAAAGCTGTCTAGCAGCAAAGATTGTGTCTACTGTACCTCTGGGTGTCTATATTTCCCCGGTGAGGGAAGCAAGTCTATTGAGGAGACACCCTTCACCTTAACACAGACTACATCTACCACAGAAAGTCTCAGAGATCTGCAAAGTTGCAGTGTAAAGGAAGCCAATGACTTCTATGAAACACTATTCCATTGACAGGATTGCCAAGATAGGTGCCAAGTTCAGGATAGCAGGACTCCATCCCTGCTTCTGGAGTATTTAGTTACCACAAGATTTAATCTGTCAGGAAATTGAAGAAGGGGCATTGATAGTCCACCCTTTATATCTTCCCACAAAAGCATGAAAAGGTCATAGCGCATGCGTGACCCTAATGGTCAGGAATATTTCAAAACTTATTGGTCTTATACACATTAGGCACATGTGTACTTACATGGGGATCTGCAGTGACTGTAACCTTTTGAAAAGCCATAGTTACTGTAGAGAAAGTAACTCCTTATTTTCAGTGTCGCTAGCAACACCATTCTCCCAAAAGGTGCAAAGCACTGATTTGACAAAGGAAGTGCAGAATTTTCATTTGATTCTTTGGCAAGGGACAGACATTCAAAAAGCCTGAGCCTGAATTGATTCAATCTTGGCAGGTTAGTCTAACCTGCCTAGGTTGAACTGGTTTGCAACTGCACAGACATTCCCCCTGGACTGAAGAAATGCAGGCACATGCCTGCAGTGGCTCAGGCTAGAAGGCAGGGGTCACTAGAACAACCCTCCCTTCCCTTCCTCAATGCTGAGCTGAGGGGGGCATGACCAGGCCCTGGCAGGATGTTCCAATTAGGGAGGGGTTTAAACCCCCATTCTGCCTGCACTGTCCCAGGCTTTTCCCCGCTTGCTACTCAAGGGGTGGGAGTGTTTCCAACCCCCAAGCCTGCACTCTGAGGCAAAGGGGGTGTGTGCAGTGCATGCATCTGTTGATGATACTGAGCTTTTCAATCACCCTCCCCTGATTCTTCATACTGTCTGCAAACCTGACATACAAGGGAGCCAGCAGAGGGCTGATAAGACAGTATTTATGAGCCCATCAATAAAAAAAGCCTCTCTCATTAGTTCAAGCTCTTCTTAAACAGCTTTATCCAAGGAAGGAATGGAGGGACATTACCAGCTGACCTGTTGATTAGCTCCCAAAAGCCCTAGGTGGACACTGTTCTGTCTGCCTGTCCCAGTGATATTTGAGACACACACACACACACACACACACACACACACACCCTCTCAGCATTAGCTAGCATACCACATGCCTAGGGTCCATGGGGCTAGGGTCTGGGCTATGCGAGATAGGTGGGAGGGAGGGAGGGGAGAATTCCTGCTTGAGCAGCAGTGGGGGAGGGGGGTGTCAGGGGGAAGCCATGACTTACTGTGCCTGCAGTCTCTCCTAGGGAGCAGAGGGGTGGGGCCAGCCCTATTCTCTGGAGCAGACAGCACAGCCCAGGGATGCAAAGCATCTGGGATGCTGGGGGAGTCTGGTTTAACTTAAACCTGGAAGGGGTCTGGGACAGATATTACATAAACCAGTTTGACCCAAATCAGTTAAGTCTGATCAATCAGTTAGGTCTGATTCAACCAGGTTTATCTTAAACCAGTTTCAGCCATTTTGAAACTGGTTTTTATGTGCACTGAAATTATGTTCTATTACGGGTTTAAACCAGTTTCTGATCACTTAAACCGCTTTGTGTGTAATGTCTGTCTCTAGCCTTTGTCTGCATGAATCCTATGTTACACCAGGCCATGAGCGTCCTGGTGTGGTGGTCACCACCAGGGCCAGAAGAAGCAACCTGGAGTGTGCAGAGTCTGGGTGTAAGGGAGCCAGGAGGCCAGAAGCCATAAAACCTGTCTAATGAACCAGGTCAGAGATCCAGAGGGTCAGGCAGAGCACAGGGCCAGGTCAGGTATCCAGGAGGTGAAACTGGAGTTCGGTTAGGGAACCAATAAGTCAGGCCAGACTCAGAGTCTGTGGGCAATGTGGGTCAGGTAGCCAGAGAATCTTTCAGAGGGCCAGTAAAGGTACAAGCCAAGAGTGCACAGTCTGAGTACAAGGTTGAACCGCGTTGCCAGGACAATTCTTTTTCTGAGTCAGGGGTTTGAATTACAAGGGATGAAGCATCAGCCGACCCTGTCTGGCCACTCCAGTGGCAGGCAGTGGGTGTGTGACTTGGGCCAGCTGGACGGTTCTGGCCACCTCTGTCTTTCCCAGGACTCTTCTGAGGAGGTGCCAGACTAGGATGAGTGGCTGTGCTGGGCAAGCTGAGACCCTAAGTTCAAAGCTGGGACCTAGCATTCTATATATATGCATTAGGTATGAGAGTCTGGAAATTTCTGTCCATCAGAGTTGGGAGAAAATCATTTTCCAGCCCTTGTGATTTTCCTACCAGACTGAATATATGAGGGAGGGAGTGACCATATTCTACATTAATTACTTTCCATTTGTTAGTGAGCTGGCACATGCTCTGTGTGCTTGGTATTTCCTTAGTGGGTCTATTCCCTTTTTTTATGTCAGTTTTTATTAATTCTAGATAGCTTGTTTAGAGAAATCTTCCCCTTATTGAAGCTATGTAATTGAGACATTTTTAAAGCATTTCAGCAACAGTGGTGAAGGTTATGGATTATTTAGAGAAGCTAGATGCTGTCAAGCTGGCAGGGCCAGATGGGATGCACCCAAGTACTGAAGGAATTGGCTGAAGTAATTTCAGAGCTGGACAAGTGACAGATGACTGGGAAAGGGCCAACAGAGTACCTATCTTAAAGGGGATAAGGAGGATCAGGGGAACTTCATCCTAACTGCTATACTTTTAAAGAAAATAGAGCAAGTCCTCAAGGAATCTGTTGTGAAGCACCTAGAGGAGAACCAGGTGCTCATGACCAAGCCATACTTGATTATGTTGATTTCCTTCTCTGATAAGGTGACAGGCTCTGTAGATGAGGGGAGAGTAGTGGATGTGATATACCTTGAATTCATCAAAACTTTTGACACTGTCTCTCATGATGTTCTCATTAACAAGCTAAGGAAATACAGACTAGATGAAAATACTGTAAGGTAGATGTGTAACTGGTTGGATCATCATATTCAGCAAGTAGCCCTCAAAGTCTTGATATATAGTTGGGAGGAGGTATCAAGTGGGGTTCTCCAGGAGTCTGTCCTGCATCTGGTATTGTTTATATCTTCATCAATTAATTGGATGATGGGACTGAGTGCACAGTTAGCAAATTTGTGGATGATTCCAAATTGGGAGGAATTGTTGACACTCCAGAGGGTAGGAGTAGGATTCTGATCCAGAATGACCTGAATAGACTAGAGAAATGGTCTACAATTAGTAGACCAATTAGACGACCTCCACCCTAGAGTGCTGAGGGAATTAGCAGAGGTCATTGCGGGACCCCTGGCATGGCTTTACGAGCACTCGTGGTGCTCTGGTGTGGTGCCAGAGGACTGGAAAAGGGCCAATGTGGTTCCCATTTTCAAAAAAGGGAGGAAGGAGGACCCAGGAAACTATAGGCCAGTTAGTCTTACCTTGATCCTGGGTAAGCTTTTTGAGAGAATTATCCTGGCACATGTCTGCGAGGGGCCAGCAGGGGTGATTATACTTAGGGGCAACCAACATGGGTTCATTAGAGGCAGGTCCTGTCAGACCAACCTGGTGGCCTTCTATG